CGCAGCGGCTTATCAGGGAACGCGCGGAAAACGCGCGCGGTAGAAGCCGAGCCAAAACTGTGTGCTTGAAATCGATGTTCCGTTGAAAACCGAGTATCAGTTCGTAACTGGAAGTTTCCAGGTCCGCGATAAATTCCGCGTGTCCCGGGCTTGTTCTTTTTTTTCTTTTTGTTTCCCGTTTCAGCGGGGACACACGGTCGCGCACATGCCGTGTCTCAAGCGGCTGTAGCACTTCGTTTCAGCGGATTATTCTTTAAATAAATTCCTGTTTAAAAGCGGCGGCGGCGGCTGGCTCGGCGCTTCGGCCGACCTAAATTTTCCCGCGGTCGAGCCTAGGACAGTTGGAAATTAATTTCCGCGAGCCGACGAGATTTACGGCGGCGTGTAATGCCGCTCCGAACCGTGCACGTACACCGGAGGAGTGTCTCCCGCAATTTTTCACCGCCTCGGCGCCCGTTCCCGAGGGAACGAGTGTATCGAAAGAAGCCCGGCCGCCTCCTTCCGACAAATTTACAAGCGGCCCTCTCTCAAATTATCGCGCCGCCTCTGCTTTTCGGAACCGCCTCTTCTCGCTTCTTCTCGTTCCTTCTCTCTGCTTTGCTTCGAGGAGCCTTCAGAAATGTATTTAACGCCACGAGAATTCCAGGAAGCCTACGTCCGGTCCGCGAGCGAACGGAGATAGTCGGCGCGCACGCGTTCGAGTCCCCGAAACGAAGCGTCGCGCCGACTTCGAGAGGACCCCGGGATAGACCGCGATCGATTCTTCGGTCCTGAGAAGCACCAGGGACGACCGAGTAAAACGGGGAAAAGGTAAAAAGGGAGAAAACGACGTCGGATATAACCGGTTTCGCGACCCCTTTTAAATCAATGACGCCGCGTCGCGTCGCATCGGACCGCGTCGGTTGGCGCGGCTCTTCGGAATGCCGAGTGCAATTTTACATGCCGTTTGTTTCAACGATCCGCCAATTCAGCGACGATGAAGAGGAGCGACGCGCTCGATCGCGAACACCGGAAACACGAGCTAAGAATACCGACCATAGCTGGAAGAGAGAGAGAGAGAGAGAGAG